GCCCTATTCTACAGTAAACTTACCGTATACCCGCCCAACAATGTCTCCACACCCGGTAAGGACCTATAATTTCAGAGTATTTGATTCTGAGGTTGAGCCATGTTTCGGTCACAAAAATTAAATCAGGCTTCTTTTCAGCAACGAAAATCTGGAAATGGTCAATTTTATTAGAGAGGCTACGTGAGTTATGTAGAAAGCACAAAATGAATATTGGCTGACCATGCCATTTGGGCGTTCAACGAGCTCTTCCTTGGAAGCTCTGAGGCGTCTTTGAGCTCGCCTCTAAACTACCCTCTCTCTCTGCTACTAGCACTCTTATTACTTTCCTCCATCATTTGTCTTACTTCGTAATCCCTCCTCTCTTAGGGCGCCACGCTTTTCCTTGAAAAACGTTGGGGGATCCAGCATGTCGTATATTACGTGCATCATCTTACGCCAGTGAGATACAGTAGGAAGTGCGACTTTCACCAGTCTAGGTCTAACAGTGTCACGTTTTCCCATACGAAAAATTTCGCAAGGTCTACACTCAACATCGATTGCGTCGATAAGTTTCAAAACAATGTCTCAAATTCTTTTTGACAAGGCGATGAAAGTAGATTTGTTTCGCTTGCCTTGACACCTGCTCTTCAGATCTTACAGCCAGCTCACATAGCCCTCAATGGTGACCGTGATTGCGACAATAATAAAATCGAGGATAGTATTTGCTACATCCTAAACCTCCAGGGCAATATCGCAAGCACAGAACGCATCTTTTTTGTCAACGAGAAGCCTTCTTTTCTCAAATATCCTTAACTGCTTGGAGATCACTGAAGATTTCTTCCATGAATCCTCGTCCTCTCTTATGACTTATTCTTAGAGTAGTTCATGCGGAACACCCTCTTGAGCAGTAGCAAGAAGCCGGTGTTTGCCGTTCTTTGTGAGCTGGGTTGCTCCAGTTGAGGGCTGGACATTTTAAAGAGCTCTAGTTACCCTTTCCTGAAAGGATAGCTTCACCTATTTCCTTGTTCCTGCAGAGTCGGCCAAAGTTCGCTCATTGCGAGTTGATGGCAGAGTTGGAGTTGGGCACTAGCTGCAATTCCGCCTAGTTCCATTTTCATTGATAATGAGCTTTGATCAACATTGAGTTATTCACCTTCCATTCTTTTCCTACAGACTGGTTCAGGAATAATACTTGTAGAAGTGAGGAGTCGAGGTAATGTGAATAATGTGCGATTTCAATCGACTGACCAGGAAAGGTCAACAGGTCAGCCTGGCTATTTGCAATGAGATGCCAGGGGGTTAGATAAAAATGGTACGATCACACCTCCGTTAATTATGCCTCGCTTATGCCTCGCCCCTAGGTGCGAGACATCATTAACGAGGTGCGAAGCGACCTCATTAAGCAGGGGGAAATCGTGCTCGAGTGCGAAGTGACCTCATTCAATGAGCTGCTAGGAAG